ATTCACAGTCTCTTTTCTCAGTAGAATTTTCAATAAATAACGAAAGTCCAGAAATAGTATTGCAATAGTTACAGGATGTATATTGCAATATATGCTACTTACTATTTTTAGCACTATTACCATGAGAAGTTAAAGGTTTTGTTAGCAGTTTTAAGAAGAATTCAAATGGTATCGATATGGCACTAAACCATAAGTATTGATTTTATTTCTTTACCATTTAATTTTTAAATGTCCTATCTGAATATGTTCAGTCAAATAATTGAGTTTCACATTATTGTTTTACTTCTGTGTGTAATTATCTGAGAAAATGTGTATAAGTTATTTCATGCTACTATGTTGTTTTTATAAGTGTCATTTAATCACTGTTTATTTTTTTTCTTGGATACAAGCTTGCTCCTCTTCAGAAGTATCTGGTAGGCAACTAACTACTTTTTAATTTAAAAAAATGATGCCAAGGTTTTTACTTGTTTGTTTATAAGTTGTTATGCTCCTCATAAAAGTCATATCTTTATAAGGTATATTGAGTAAATAAAACGTTTTAATTAAGGAAATGGTTTCTTTAGTTTTATGTTAAGTTTTAGCTATAGAAGTGATTTCCATTCCAGTTTCTTGAGTGATGTTTTAGAAACAGCGAGCACAGTGCCACAGCAGTGGGAGTTGTGCAGTGAGGCACTTAAAGTCGGCAACCCAGGCTAACGAATGGCTTTCAAAAGAAAATAGACCGCTATAAACATTGAATAAAACAGCTGGTATTTAATTGGGTATTTATGCAAGGAAGTGTATATTCTATTTCGTTCTGTTTTTCTGTTCGTGTCTCTTCTGCTTTTCTGACATCATTAGAAAAGTTCATTGTCACACTTTTATTATAAAGAGGTGTAAAAGGCGGTGGTGACATTTATCTCGTCACAAGGAGACGGGAGAACTCAACATCTGGAGTAGTTGTAATCTGTATAGCAATGTTTTTAAAACTTTTCTTATGAAATACAAATGATAACCTCTTTTAAGCACTGGATGCTTAACTGGATGCCATGACTAACAGCATGCCCTTTTTATAATGAGCAGTAATGTAGTTTATTTAACACAGAACCCAAAGTACTTAATAAACAAATTTACTAAACATAATTAATAAAGCATTCTTATTTGTTGTAGAATGATATGAATAATGTGAAATTAAAATGTGCCATACTTGAGTTTTTAATAAATTTCCTAATGTTTAAAATGAACTTCGTAATCTAATTCTTATACTATGTCCTATGTATAAGCATACTCAAAAATATTTTGAAAGTGATAGAATTAAGTGTTTTAACATACTTGTGAAAATGCATAAAAATTGGCAGTTTGTTTCTGCTTGATTCATCTTGCAAATGCGGGTAAACATTTGTACAAACCAGGCCTGAGTGAACCTAGAGTTTCCATTGGTAGGCTGATTTCTCTAGAACGCAGTGTGATAGACTCTTTAAATAACACAAAATGAAGAGAAAGTAAGTTCATTTTGAACATAAAGATAGTTGGAATCTACACTTCTGAAAAGAAATCGTGTTGATGTGTGGTATGTCCTCATTTTTGTAGTACCTAGTTCGCTCCATTATTAATCAACACGAAACAAAATATATTTGCAGAAAAACCCTTTTGTAAGGTATTTTTTCCTAATCATTGTTACCTGCTTTGTAGATAGATACCCATGATTGTGTAGCTAAGAAGTATTAGAGTCACATTCTAATTCAGTTGTAACTCAAGCTCCAAGACCTGTGCTCTTTTAGGGGATTGCATTGGTGTCAATGGTAAAGTATAGATATAGCTTATATATTAAAACACAGTAAGAAACAAAAAGAAAAGGAGAACTTTAAATATACGCTTTATAAGGAACTCTGGATTAAATATGCTGTAGTGTTTGCATTTGGCTGCCTCTCCCACCACTTATTTTACTAATTAGCTGCCAACACCTTGTATCAGTGGGTATAAATATTAAAACTAACCAAAGAAACCAGAGGACCGTGGTTTGATTCCCAGTCAGGGCACATGCCTGGGTTGCAGGCCAGTTCCCAGCAGGGGACGCATGAGAGGCAACCATGCATTGATATTTCTCTCCCTTTCTCTTTCCCTTCCCCTCTAAAAGATAAATAAATAAAATTTTTTAAATAAAAAAAAAAAACACAACCAGAGAAAAGCATTTAGAAAGTTCTATTGACTACTGTCTAAAAATAATAAAATTCAAAGCAAATACATGTGGTTCTGGGCTGCCTGTTGTTTTGGAGTTACAATCCATAATGTGAAATATTTTATTTTTGGTATCTATATTTATAGATGTATATTTTGACAAAGAGTTAACTTTGTTCATCTTTGCATGTAAATGGTGCACCTATAAACGAGATTTCATGTGTCTGTATATACACTTACGTGACAAAACGTGCTTCAGGAACAGAGTTTTCTTCATGGAACTCTTTAATGACATTATAATGAATGCTTATCCTTTAAAAAGAAATCTCATAATTGAAATAATTCACAAAATTTAATATCTTTGATTTATATCCATTTCTGGTAACTTTATACAAGACTGCTGTTAGAACCATTCTTTACTTTTTACAGCACTACTTACCAGTAAACTTGGAATACTGATGCGTACAGAGAATACTATCAGATTTCCTGAATACCCTGTTAGTGAGTAAAATTAAGTAGTACCTGAAATTTTTTCTTTAGCTAATTCACCAGGTAGGGAAAAGAAAATTTCCTTCAACATACCATCATTGGCAAATATTGCCTATTCTTCCTTTGACCAGTCACATTTTCTTACTCCAGATCTACTGATCAGGAAGTCACAGGAAAAGCTGGGAGAGGATATTAGGGAATTTTTTTTAGCTTCAATTTTTTAGCTTGTCTTCAAATTATCTGTGCTCAGACAGGCATCTGGAGAGTTTATTCTGTAACTTGATTTGCAAGTTCTATAAATAGAAGATAACTAAAAATATTTTAAATCAGATTTATATTTGGGGGATTACAAGTTGTTTCTTAAAAGTCACAGTTGCATTTAACAATAAATTGTGTTTTTAGTTTATGTCATAGGTTTTGTTTCCACATCAGTGCCATACACAGACGTATCTGCTCTATGACCCCAAAAATAAAATGTTACTTATAAAACCAATCGTAACAAGTGTATTAACTTTTAGAAGTAGGATGACTTAAATCATCCTGAACTCAAGAAAATGTAAGAATTTTCCACCTTCCAGATCCACCTCCAGGAGAAATTAGATCATTTTGCATAATTAGGTACAATTATTTGATTCATTGTTTTGGTACATAAGATTCCCATACAATAAAAAAATTCTAATTAAAAAAATTATTTTTCTCGCCCTGGCTGGTGTAGCTCAGTGGATTGAGCGCAGGCCTGCAAACCAAACAACTGCGGTTTGATTCTCAGTCAGGGCACATGCCTGGGTTGCAGGCCAGTTCCCAGCAGGGGATGCACAAGAGGCAACCATACATTGATATTTCTCTCTCTCTCTCCTTCTCTTCCCCTCTAAAGATAATAAAATCTTCCTAAAAATTATTTTTCTCAAACCTTCTAAAGTAGGTATTCAGAGACTATTTTAACAGCAAAATACAAATGACAGTTTATATAAAGTAGTTAAATAATGTCTGCTCTTGGTGCCTGTCATCACCATTTTGAAATCTCAAAAGATTTAGAATACCAGTAGTAGCCTTTTTGTCTAGGAGTGGTGTTTGGGGGAAAGTACTACACTGAGGATAAAAGGGAATAATTTTGTGTGTCTTCAAATGCCTCACTTTAATGGTACTACATTGTTAGATGATCATGGTGCAGAATTTGTGAGCGCCTCACTTCCATTTTCCTTCTGTCTTTTCACTGTCATGGTCACCCACCACTGTCATGGTCGTCACTATTGGAACATCTGAAACAAAGGCCGGGCGCTGCTCTCGGTCCCCTCTGTATGCCTTTTACTGTTTGACCATAATGTAAATACCACTTTATGCTATTTTATTCTTCATGTACAGATTCACATATCAGAGAAATACTGGTAACTTTCTGAACAAAAGACTAATTATTTATTGTCTATTCAGGTTTTGCTTGCATAGAGCTAACTGGGAACAAGAGTACATATTGTTTATGTCATTTTATCTTTCTGGAATTTCTTTTCTATTTATTATGTGTTTTAAACACCTGAAGTTGTATGTAAACAGATCATTGTTAATAACTTTGTGGAAAGCCAGTGAAATGGAGGACTCTTTAAAATGATTCCTCATGTAACAAATCTAAAATTTCCAACTGCAGCTCTGTAAAATAATGTGGCTATTACTAATCACCATATAAACATCTGGTTTGGATTTGCTTTACTTCAGTGTACATTTAAAGTTAGTCATTAAGACATTTTTTTGCTCCACATTTAGAATGAGATTTTTAAGCTCTTTGGAGGGTTTTTTGTATGTTTGTTTGTTTGTGAAGTTTTGTTTTGTTTTGTTTTGAGGTCTTCGTGTATATTCTTTATGTGTTAGTTTATGGTAGAGAAAACACAAATTTAATAACATAAATTCTTTTTCTTATGCCTGAAAATAACCCTTTGTCAAAATCGATTATTCTTGAAACTCCACAAATCAATAAGTTCACACTCTCCAAACGTTTTCAGTTATTATGTTTAAAGGCTGTGTTGTGCCTTTAAACTATCACTAATGGTTTATTCACAGTGAGTATTTTGTTCTGGATTGATCTAGCCTCTTGTTACTTTTGGGTATGTTTTCAGTATTTTTATTATTAGATTTGAAATGATCAGGGTGATCCACATAGAAAGATATTAGGGAATTTTAGAAGTTTGAGAAAATGTTTGCATCCTGTTTGGAGAAACGGAATAGTTATCTGGTGCATCACAGTTGTAAGCACACATGTTTTATGGGAACCGTAGTGGACATGAGCCTGTGTTTTTTAAAGCATGTGTATTTATATGTAATGTGAATATTGTTACAAGACAATTTTTTAAATATTTTTTTTTTAGTGAAAGAGTTTCTAGCCAAAGCCAAAGAAGACTTCTTAAGAAAATGGGAAAATCCTGCTCAGGTAAGGGATATTTAAAATTTTCTATGATTTAAAAATTCTGTGTTAAGTAAAATCAAGAGTCTTGCCTAAATAATTTACTACTTTCAGAAACTTGAATTTTCAAGTAGCAATAATAAATAGGGGTAACATGGGATTTTTTCCCCATAGCATTGTTTTTAATCTATTAATAGTTTTATGTATACATAAATTGGAGAAGGAACTCATTTCCAGTATAATACCTGATTATAAATGTTGACACTAATTCCAAGCTGCTACAAACCCTTGATATTTTCTAATTGTGATAGTTTCAATTTGTGCCTATGCTAGCATATTTAGTATTTTTATTAATTGCAACAATACTGATCCTGTTGTGCGGTTTCAAATTCACACTCACAAACACTTGGCTGTTGATGGCACACCAAACACAGGGGTTGTTTCAAAACCATTTTCATGAGATCAAGTCCTTTAGATCTTAGCTAAGATCTAGAAACTATATAAAAAGTCATCTATGCTTGTAAAAATTCTTTTTGAAGTTATGATTAACAAAATTTAATAGTGAATTAAATTTTGAAAACCTTAGCACAGAAATTTTTGACTTCAGTATTTTTTCACTCAAGAAATATTGATTTAAATAAATCTTATGCTTTATGAAGATTCCCTCATTATCAAGATTTATAGCATGACCTGTAATTTAAAACATAATCACTCAAGTGATAGACATTATCTAACATGAAACATTAAGGGAGGTGAAGAAGATGGCATATTTGTTTGAAAAGCAATGACTAGCAAGAAGGGCTGGCCTGTGGTCTGCTAATGAAATCTGTTTTCATTATCAAGTTGGGAACTGTATTAACCATATCCATCTGTGTTGATAAAACCAGAGATTAAATATTAATTCATAAATCTAAATAATTTAATAATAATTAGAGGGACATTTTCTTTTGCATTGACATGGAATCTCATGGCAATTTAAAGTTATTGGAAATATGAAATTAAAATCTGATGAAAACAGGTTTTGTGAGTAAAAACTTAAGAGGTGATTGCTCTCTCCGTGATTCACCAAGAAGCTACGCTGTCTCCAAACACAAAGTTTGGTTTTCAGTAGAGATGAAGTCCAACTATAGTGGACTTACAATAGCTGTCCAGATTCCTCACCTATGCAAGAGTCATATTTTGCCACATTTTTCTGAGTGGAAATAATTTTTCTAAGACTTTCATGGGGATCTTTGTAATTAAAACCCATTAAACAAGTGGGTCAGCAATTACTACTTATTGCTATTTAGCATGTAATTTGTTTCTAGTATTTTTTTATTTTGTTGTGGCAGCAACAAATTCAATAGATTGATGCTTCCAGTTCTTTGCTTCTGTGTTACAGTCAAAGGCAAACAAAGATGTTTGCTCATAACAAAGCATCTATTCAAAGAGAAAGATGAGGCTGATTATTGTTCTGGGACTCTGACTCAGTTATCTTTGTGGGAATGAGGAACTCTTCTTTCCTTATTGTTACTGTTTTAGGTAATACTGGGTTATTATAACATCAGAAAGAAAGCTATGAGAATCGCTCATGCTGTTATTTTCTAGTTCTGTGAGCTCTTAGAAAGCTAGAAACGAAGTTACATGTCCTTTCTTCCAGGGTAACTCTAGTGCAAGGACTCTGATCCCTCAGCTCATCTACTCGTTCCAGCTTTTTGCAAGTGCACTAGGACTGTAAAGCTTTCACAATTGTCTTTGTCAGTATGCTCCTTATCAGTTTGTAACTGTTAAAACATGAAACTAATTTGTTAGAATTCCAATACTAGGAATATATATTGGAATATGACCTTTTAATATTTCAGCTGAAGCTCTTATTTCCTTCAACTACTATTATGTTTTGTTTTGCAATATAATTCTCTTCTCAAACATTAAATCCTTTCTTATTCAAAGGAAAAAATAGCACCAGTAACTTGGAATCTCCGTAGTCTTTTATATTATTTTTAAATGGATGATTATAAATTAAATGACCTATTCTGATATCACTGAATCTATTACTGTTATCGTAGTCTTATGAGAATTTCTCACTTTAAAGATTTGATTTATTTATTTTTAGAGAGAGGGGAGGGGGGAAGAAAAATGGGGAAAGAAACATCTATGCGTGAGAGAAACATTGACTAGTTGCCCCTTGCACGCCCCCAACTGGGGACCAGCCCTGCAATCAGGCCTGTGCCCTGCCCAGAAATGGAACCAGCGACCTCTTGGTCCCTAGGCCAATGCTCAATACACTGAGCCACACCAGCCAGAACAGCACATTTCTAACTTTAAAGTTTATTTTATTTTTTATGTATATGTAGAATAATGCTGGCCTGGAAGATTTTGAAAGGAAGAAAACCCTCGGAACAGGTTCATTTGGAAGAGTCATGTTGGTGAAACATAAAGCCACCGAACAGTATTATGCCATGAAGATCTTAGATAAGCAGAAGGTTAGTGGTTTTGTTGTTATTTACTTGAAGGGTAAGCTTCAGTTTTATCAGCTAGATTATTAAATAAATGCAATGTAATGACTTAACCATTAACACAGTCAAATTTTATCATTGCACTTTTTTTCCATCCTTATTATTATGACTCTATGATACATAACTATAGTTTTAGTATATAGGAGTACATTATTTCAGTATTTATACTTACAGGTATGCGTATGTTTACTAGCAAAATATTGAATTTAACATGTAAGGAACAGGCTTCTCTACTACATTCTGCCATGTGGAAAAATGCAGGAATAAATTACTTGATCATTAGGTTGAGGTAACAGATATTCAGTGATTTTATGATTTATATTTTTAATACTCACACAAGTATTTTTCTAAAGATTTTATTTACTTATTTTTAGAGAAAAGGGAAGGGAAAGAGAAAGAGAGGGAGAGAAACATCAAAGTGTGGTTGCCTCTTGCGTGCCCCCTACTGGGGACCTGGCCTGCAACTCACACAGGTATGCTGACTGGCAACCAAACCAGCCACCCTGCGGTTTGCAGGCCAGCGCTCAGTCCATTGAGCCACACCACACACCAGCCAGGACAATTTTACAACTTATTTTAATTGATAGTAGAAGCCTTTCTGTTTAACATGCTTGCTTAATTAAAATGTTAACTAAGGCAGGTAAAATTTGAAAACCTACATACTATTAAAAATCAAATCATTGTGTTGTACACTTGAAAAAAATACGTTACATGTTGATTATGTCTCAATAAGAATTTAAAAACAATTTTAAGTGCTTATATATTGTTATATCTAAAGAATCAGGGTATCTGAGTTATTCATGCTTTATATATTAAGCTTCTGGTTTTTTAGTAATCATTTATAATTAAGGGAAAGTAAAAGAAAAATGACAAATCTTGATATATTATTCTACAGATAGTATGTTCCTAAGAATAATATCTTGTCTTACTAGGATATAGAGATGAGAAAATGTAGAGGAGAGAGGGTTACAGAAAGTGGCTAGACTATTGATGCAATCTAATAAATATAATATGAGCCACATATGTAATTTAAAATTTTCTAGTAGCCTAATTTTTTAAAAGTAAAAAGAAACAGTTGACATTAATGTTAATAGTAGATTCTACAGTGTATCCACACTGTAGATCTCAGTGTATCCACAATATTATCATTGCAGTACATAATTAATATAAAATTACTAAGATATTTTAAATTCTTTTTTCATAGCAAATCTTCAAAACTTGATCTATATTTTATACTTATAATACACCTGCATTTGGGTAGCCACATTTCCAGTGTTAGATAACCATACGTGGTTAGTGGCTACCATTTTGGACAGTACAGTTTTAAGACTGGTCTGTAGTTCTAATCCAATCTCTACTTTATTTTTTTCTGCTCTTTCTTCCTTTCTTCCTTCCTTCCTTCTTTCCTTCCTTCCTTCCTTCCTTCCTTCCTTCCTTCCTTCCTTCCTTCCTTCCTTCCTTCCTTCCTTCCTTTCTTTTCTTTCTTTCTTTCTTTTTCTTTCTTTTTTAGAGAGGGGAAGGGAGAGAGAAAGAGAGAGAAAAACACCACCGTGTGGTTGCCTCTCACGTGCCACCCACCAGGGACCTGGCCTGCAACCCAGGCATGTGCCCTGACTGGGAATTAAACCAGCGATCCTTTGGTTCCCAGACCAGTGCTCAGTCCACTGAGCCACACCATCCAGGGCCCAATCTCTGCTTTAAAACAAAAATCAAAACTAACCTCTAACATGAAAGGAGTAATGGCTTTTTAGGTCTCTAAAATTAAATACACCCTATTTAATTTCTCCACTGCCCTCTTTCACATAGTAACTTTTCTAACCATGCTTCTTGAAAAAATAGTTTAGTCACTCTATACACTAACTCACATTAATTATTTAATGCACAATAATTTAGTGCCTCCTTTTTTATCTTCAACATCTTGCTACTCCACTAAAATGTGTCTGCCAAAGGTCATCAATCCAGTGGCTCAATCACCAAGTCCAGTGGACTCTTTTTGCTAGTCTTGTGGGACTTTTCTAGAGTTTATGACGGTGGTGACCTTTCCCGTGAAACTGTCTCATGCTTGGACTTCTGGGTCCCTGTGCTCTTCTAATTACACTCCTGCCTGCTCGGACTCTCCTTTTTTATGTGCCTTTTTCTGTTTACTTTTATGTTTTCCCTTCTGTCTACTCGTTAAAGGTTGCTAATCCCAATATCTGGCTTATTCCTTCTCATTTTTGTGTTCTGTACAGTCTCCCTGTGTACTCTGACCCAAGCTTCAACTCTCCCTGGAGCTCTGCACTCTAATTTGTACGGGCTGGGCTCAGAGCTTTTAGAGAGCAACTAGTTCTTGCCCTAACTTTTTAGAGGCAATTGAGTCTCAGAGAGGATAAGTGGTTTGTATATTTATGGTGGCAGTACAACAACAACAAAATGCTTCAAATTTATACTTTTGATTAAAACTGTCTTTAAAATGTATTATCTGTATAGCCTAAAATATTTTGTTATCTTTTTTAAGGAATTAACAGTGTTGTAGTCATAAAATATTAAAATATTTACAAAAAGTACTTTTATACTTGAAAATATATAAGGGAGACTTTTAAAATTCTTTTTTGGTAAGATAGTGGCTTGTTAATAAGTAAGTTACTGAGAAGGCTGCCTTTGGAATAAATCATGATGAAAGAGTACTTCCCAGAAGAACAGCTGCCATTTGAAGTCATTTCTCTATGGCAACGATTTTCAACTGGTATGCCTGCCGCAAGGATGTTTGAAGCGTGCAATATCTGACCACTCAGTCAGGGCCACTGACCTCTTTTCCCTTAGATTGTCAAATGAAAAAATGACAACAGTCAACACAACAATGGCCATCCAGTATAAATGAATAAAATTATGCTTATTTTTTGTCAGATCAACAAACAATATTACTTCGGTGTACTGCAGAATTTTAGCAATTAGTTTATGTATACCATGAGATGAAAAACATTGAAAATTGCTGCTCTATAGCAATGTTGTAGGTCTATTTAGAATTAAGACAAAGACTATATTCTGAATTTTCCAAGTTTATTTACTTTAATTTGCTAAAACAAAGTAATGAAATAATACTCCATAATCTTCTTTCCTGTTAATAAAGTTACAGCTCTTTTTAATGAACTCTTTTTTGGCTTCTCCTATCTTAGGGTATATGGGGTTAGGAGAAGAAAATCAGTACAAAAATTAAGGAAATCCCATTTTGTATTCCATACTGTGTGTCAAGCATTGCAAAGCACTTTATTGTATCAGTGAATCTTCACACTAACTTTGTGATGTTAACCTCCCATTTAAACCAAGAACCTCTGTATTTATTTTTTCAAAGCCAAACATGTAGCAAGAAGAACCAAGAATTTGACCTAGATTTGTCTCATTTCTATTCCTATACTCCTTATTAATTTTTCCTTCCAAATGTTTTTGTTATTCCTAAATCTTTTCTGCCACTACCTGTTTTGTCCATCATTAATATTAACTGGGCTTTCACAGTAACATCTTAATTAATTTCCACAATATCAATTTTTACCTTCTACTGATTCACCTTCTTCATTAACAAATTCTTCTTACTGTAACATATCATCTCACTTACTCAGAAAGCTTCCTGGTGTTTATTCAATGAAGTCAGAACTCTGCAGCCTGCTTTCAAAGCTTTCACAGTTTTCTTCCAAACTCTAGTCTTATCTCACACTATTCCCCTCCATGTCCTCCGTACTCTACTCCTTTGCCTGAAATGACCCATAGAAGTATATGCTGGGTCAGGTAGGAGAGTACGTGATGATATATGACCTGCCTTCCTTATTAATAACTCCTCAAGTGCTTGGCTGAAAAAATAAGTCTGCTGATAAGTAATCATTTATAAATGCTTTTAAATGTATTTAAACCAACAGAAATATTGACAAGTGAATATAAATGTTAAATAAATTTTGAAATAAAATGTGGACAAAAAAACCCCAGGGGTGCTTGTTAATTTTCCTCTGTCATTTAGGGATACTTCATTACCAAAACATGAGCAGCACTGTCCTAAGCTCTAGCCAATGGAACTAGCACTCCGACTCACCTTTGTGTATTTTCCCCTCTGAACACTTATGACCCAACTCTTATACGGCAGTCGTCTTGTACTGCTCTTCCCATATTCATGCAGCATATGTCCAAATAGATTTTATGCAGCATGAGGGCAGACACTCTCTTGGCTTTATCTCTGTTGCACTTATGTCTTATATGTAGTAGATACAGACATTTAAAATTAAATTAGATTTTTATTAGTTAGATTTTTAATTAAGTTAATTTAAAAATTATGCATATTTGCTTTGGGGGTTCACATATATATCTTGGAATCATTCCTATTTTAATTGTTATGCCCCACATATGCATGTGGTACATTCAGACAGTGGAATATTATTCAGAGCTAAAAACAAATGAACTATCAAACCATGAAAAGACATGAAGGAGACTTGAGTGCATATTACTCAGTGAAAGAAGCTGCTCTGAAAATGCCACCTACTGTATGATTCCAACTATATGACATTCTAGAAAAGGAAAAACTATGGAGACAATAAAAAGATCCATGTTTGCAAGGAGGTAATGGGAGGGAAGGATAAATAGGTGGAGAACGGAGGGTATTTTAGGGCAGTGAACCTACCCTGCATGATATTATAATGATAATACATGTCATTATACATATGTCCAAATCCACAGAATGTAGAATACCGAGAGTGAACCCTAACATCCACTGTGGACTCCTGGTGATCATGATGCGTCGGTCTAGGTTGATTAGCTATAACTGATGTAGCACTCTGGTGGGGAATGTTGGTGGTGGGGGAGGCTATGCATGTCTGGGGGAAGGAGGTTTATAGAAAATCTCTGTACCTTCCATTCAGTTCTACCGTGAACCTGAAACTGCTAAAAATATATAGTCTATTAAAAAATAGTAAACACAAAGCAATACTAATACTCTGGGTAAAGTTATATAATTTATTGTGATATGTATAGACTAATTTGTTCTATAACTAGTTAGAGTACATACCGTGCTGATCTAACCACTTCATGTTACATATAAAATAAAACAAACAAATACAAAAAAGTAAACCCTGATCCTGATAGCCTAAGAGCTGAAATTGCATTTCCAAAGTCAGAAAACTGTTTGAATAGAAGACCTCCATTAGAACACAAATCTTTTTACTCTTAGTCAATTATTTTTATACTGTAATTTATGTACTAATTACCGGATGATATCTTTAATTGCCTCTCTTACCCATGTTCAGTTTCTTGAATTCTGTCTTTACCCCACATTGACAATAAGCCTCTATCAAGAAAGAGTGCCAGCTTCTAATGATTTATATATCTCCCTAAGATCACCTTTCCTTAAATTAGGAAATAGAATCACATTTGGGGTAGAATCATGTTCTTTATGACATCAGGATAAGCTGCTTCTCCAGCTATGTATGTAATTGAGTAGACAATCCAGTAGAAGCTTGATTGATCCTAAATGATCTATTTGTTATAAAAACATAGTCATTTTTTACCAATATTTGGTGTGTCCTCTTTTGTGACTGTACAAATTGAATTTTTAGGACTTGTCCTTGTGTTTATTCAGGTATTATGAAATGAACAGATTGTTCATTTTTACCCACTGTTTTTAAGTTGTTGGCTTTTCCTCAGTTCTTACTTTCCTTGCTGATCTGAGGATTTAAATCAATATCTACTTATTGCAGTGATTTGTGCCAGCTCCTTTAGTGGGCCATAAGTCATTAGGAGCTAAATATTTTAACATACTAATTTTTAAGTAATTTATCATGAGTCTAATTCTTAGCTCTTGCTTACTTACTGAAAATTATGCTTTAATTTCTTAAGACCAAGTTTTAAATTCTCTGTAAGGTTTTTTCAGTTGAATCTGATAAGCCTCATTGGTAGTTATTACTGTCATCCTTGTGTGACTCTAGGAATCTTGTTTGATCTAAGTTCATTATTATATGGAAAACATTTATGTAATTTTCTTCTTATAAAATTATAATAGCTTTTAAATTTTATTTAAATTAATTTAATATATTTACCTCTCAATTACAGGTTGTTAAACTGAAGCAAATAGAGCATACTTTGAATGAGAAAAGAATATTACAGGCCGTGAATTTTCCTTTTCTTGTTCGACTGGAGTATTCTTTTAAGGTAAATTTTACTCATATTCAAATAAAATATTGTCACCCTCACAGTTTTTCAAAATATAAAGCTGTAATAGGATTCTAAACCAGATGTAAACCTGGAGAATGTTAAAAGACAAGTAAATATAGATTTTTATGTAATTAAATCCTATTGTATGTACAAATTTAGAAAAGGTTTTAGTTCTCCCTGGGGAACTGGTGAAAGGCAATGTATAATTATTTATGAGATGGTATTATGAAATCAGATATTTCAGTGTATCAAAATCCATAGTGATATTTTAATTAAAGCAGTTCTTACATTCCTACAAACAAGTACACCTATATACCTTCTTTTTCTCCTGAATCTTTTCTGCCAAAATCTCACTATCTTTTTTCTCCTAGTAGTTTGTACTCTAGTCTTTTCATTTATATGAGTTAGAACAGACTTTGACCCTCTCCTCAAGTGTCTCCTAAACTTGCAAAAGATCTATTCTGTAAGTTGGCAGCTTTTTAGTTCCTTGACTTATAGTTGGCATTTCTCTGCAATATTCATTCATAGGAAACATTTTAGTCTTTTTTTGCTTTTTTCTCCTTTATTCTTTAAATCAAATAAAGACGTGTGAATGCCTGATAGTGTTAACAATCATTAATTTCTCTGAGCTAATGTACATAAATATAAATATTTTAATAACTTTTTTCAAATTGTTCTTTAACCTAGTTATTCCTTTGCATATACTATAACATTAAGTTATTGCCACACTGTTTGTTTAAGAGTTAAACGTTCCCTGCAAGAGCAAGAATGACAAATATTCCAGAGTAAATTGTAGCAAGAATATGGAGGGTGGGGGAGAGGGTTGAGGAGGGAATGAGAGCCCCAGAAGAAAAAGTGAGAGCATTTTCTATTTATTCTCTGTTGCCCAATGTTAGTAGTCTATCAGGTGGGTTTTTTAATTTGTCTTTTTCTAATCAAACATGGTATTATCTTAAAATATTTTTGAGAAACAATTAGTTTCATAATTTTGTTGTATTTATCCTTTATATTTGTCTCTAGGATAATTCTAACTTATATATGGTTATGGAATATGTCCCTGGGGGTGAAATGTTTTCACATCTAAGAAGAATTGGAAGGTTCAGGTAACTAATACTTTACTCTCCTAAAATCTTGCTGTGTGTTTGTTTTAAACCAAATTTTTAAGTTATTATTAATGCAAAAAATTATTTTATTTAGTAATATTTTAGTATATGAAGAATTATGTAGAAACATTAATAAGAGGCTACATACTGAGTTTTAAAAATCAAATAAAAGCACTATGATAACAGTGTAAATATTCTGCCATTAGTATTGTTTGAAATTCATGATCTGAAGAATTTCCAGAAATGCAAAAAATAATTGAATGTAGCCCTGGCTGGTGTAGCTCAGTGAATTGAGTGCAGGCCTACGAACCAAACAACCGCAGTTCAATTCCCAGTCAGGGCACATGCCTGGGTTGCAGGCCAGTTCCCAGCAGGGGACGCACGAGAGGCAACCATACAATGATGTTTCTCTTCCTCTCTCCTTCCCTTCCCCTCTAAGAATAAATAAATTTTAAAATCTTTAAAAATTAAAATAATAATAATTGAATGTAAATATAACTGTATTTATTAAGCAAATATTAATTGCACAACTCTAAGGAAGAGGTTTGTGTAAGGGTAAAGATAAAAAAGCAATCTAGAGAAAAGGTGATAATAGTATTGTAGTGATGAGGTTATGAAAGTTAGTTTTGCACATATATAATTCTCTGTAATGTTTTTACTATGTTGAGGTTAAAATACATATGTAATTTTAAAACAGTTTGTACCTCATTATATTTTTTACTAATAAAGTCACATAGTTATTAAAATAGATTACAGATTGTTATCTTTACCCACGTGGTAGTTTGAAAGCTACCATTGTTCATTAATACTAATAGAATGAAACTGAAACCAAGATCAGGTATGACTTCATTCAGCACATTATATATTGGCATAATTAGCACATAAGTATGAGTTCAAACAGGACTCATGATGGTAGATTTACAAAATATAATAGACTTGGATTATCGTGACATTTTCTTCAGTAGTGGCCAGCATTAGAGCTGTTTTAATTTCCTGAGGCCTAAGCCAATATTTGTTTATTGACATAATATATGCAAGGCACCTACTATGTCTCAGGCACTGTGTTAGGGGGAAGTAACTTCTGTTTATCTTTAATGAGTTTTTTTCCTTTCATGTTGTCCTTTTATCCTACCATCCCTGGTCCAAGCAGACCCAGAATCCTCATATCGCCCTATAATAATTCAAAGTTTTACACCAAAGAACCACACCTACGTCTGTCTTCAAAAAAGAGAGCATTATGCTAAGTGAAATAAGCCAGACAAATACCATATGATCTCACCTATGACAGAAACCTAATGAACAAAACAAATAAATGAGCAAAACAGAACCAGAGGCATGGAAACAAGGAACTGAATGACAGAGACCAGAGGGGTGGGGGAGGGAGAGGGAAGGGGAAGAGCCTAGTTAAAGAACAAGTACAAATGTGCCATGGACGACATGGTGGGAATCGACTGTGGAGGGGGGAGGCAGGACAGGAGAGACCAATGGGGGAAAATTGGGACCACTGTAATAGAACAACAATAAAAAAAGATTTAAAAATATTTTTTGTCCATTTTCTATAATTACTAAGTTATTTGCAACTCCCACTCTTTTATTTCTGTAATAGTTGACTTGGTACTAGGAGGAAAGCATACTGATTGACACACTTCATGCTGAGGCACTACTATTCTAACCTTGCACACACACTACACATGGGGTTGGGCAAAAGTAGGTTACAGTTGTGAACATGCAAAACATGGAGTTTATTCTTGTTACTATTTACTAATTCTTGTATTACTTTCCTTGTGAACAACTGTAAACCTGCTTTTGCCCAGTCCTGTATACACTTGAAAGGTTGCTAACTCCCATCTTAGAAATTCTGAGGCAACCAGACTGCCGAGTTATGTTGAATAGAGCTCTAATCAGAATCCGAGGAGTTGTTATGATTCTCCGTGACACAGCATCTGTCTAGACTTCAAGCTACTATACATTAGGTTTTCCTATAGAATATTTTTTCACCTTTCAACAGTTTGATTATAGATCTATGGACTGTGTTTCCCCAGTTGAACACCAGTGTGGAAATAAATATAAAATGCTGAATATATCTTACATTTTTATGATAAATATATATTCACTTATAAGATGTAAGTACATCTTATACTTAACAGAGAAAATAGTAGAGACATTTGCAGACAAAACATTTCAAATTTTGGAGTGACTGGCTGAGGCGATTCTTCCAGGCCCCTTCACAGTGTCCTCCCGCCTTGTCATCGGATATGGGCTGCAGGTTGTTACAGTGTTGGGGCGGAGCTGAAATGGAAGGGTATTAAAAAATACTGCTCCCAAGTGTATTTTTCTTTTTCACATTTATTTATTCAACAAATATTTACTGAGCACCTGATGTGTATCAGTCTAGGGCCTAGGAAATACAGTGGCAAGAGAAAGGAGCAGCATAGATAATCTTGTTTTGGAATCTCTGTTTCTGGTCCCATTAGATCAAGTTCATGCCCGCCATCTTGAGGGAAATCCTATTCATAGTTAAGGTTATTTATTGATGACGCAAATCTGAAAGTCATTGCAGTTTGTCAGGCAGATTAGCAGAATTCAGTGTGTGCCCTGGAAGATGAAATATAAACTCAAAACTAACGTGTCAGTACATCCTTGAAATAATTCTCAGAGTGTGGCATCATGGTCACACTGACCTAATCTGTACTTGTAAGAACTGCACATTTATACAAATACAGTTTATTCCTGTGCTTGTATGTCTGTAAACATGCACAGTAGAATGTTTGGGAATTCAGACACTGGGATTGCATCTATGGCTTCTGGATGGGATTAAGAATGTCTTATTCTTCATTACTATTTTATGAATTTTTTTCTATAATGAGCATATATCATTTTTGTAATAGGAACAGCCTAGGTAAATGGCATTAATCCACAGATTAAAGTTAAAGATCTTTTTAACTATTGCAGTTAAAGATCTTTTCTATGTAGTAAAATTCTTTAAGCACTTGAAATTTATGACAAATGTAAATGGAGTCTATCAACAGTAGCAATGGCCTAATCTGCACATTTGCTTTTCAGTCATCCTCAAGGTCAGACAGTTATAAAGACATCAGTACCTTCCACTATGGCCAATAATAATTTAAAATATGATGACATTTTGACAGTTATATTTTTCTCCAATGTATGCTGGCACTGAGTCTATCAAAGCATTATCTGAAGATAATTTAGAGATTTAAAATGTTAGGCAACTAGCAAGATCTGTCACATAATGTTTAAAAGAGAAAATGTTTTTTACTCCCAAAATACTTCAACCCCATACTAACTTTTTTGTATAACCTACTGATTACTATGTGTTAACCCATTTTACTGAAATCCAATGTTTTGTCTCTTTGTAGCGAACCCCACGCACGGTTCTATGCAGCTCAGATAGTGCTAACGTTCGAGTACCTCCATTCACTAGACCTCATCTACAGAGATCTGAAACCCGAGAATCTCCTAATTGACCACCAAGGTTATATCCAGGTATGCACTGAACATACTGTATGGAATGTATTTGAGAAAGTACTAGGTAAAAAGTCACATGTATTTGACAGCTAACAATATTAGAATTTTTCTTCTTGGAGGAGAAAATTACTTATCTCTAATAGCTTAAACAGAGCTTACAGGTCCACTGCTATTGCAAAGAACAAGCAATCCCATGTAGGATAGACATTGTTTGTGTGTCCTGTAATCTGTACTTGTGAATTGACCACAGGCTCTTGCATAAAGAATTTATAATAGCTGAGTTTGCGAGTGCTCATTTAGTGCCACACGAATTCCAGGTGCTTCTATATGTATCACCTTTTTTAATCCTGATAATGTCATGAAGGGTAAATACTGTTGCTATTCTCTTTTGAAGGCAGATGAAACTAAGGCACAGCAGGGTCACACAGGCAGAGTCAGGTCATAGTTAAGGAACATGTATAAAGGACCCATGGCCACGGACAACAGGGTGGGGATTGACTGTGGGAGCAGGGGGTGGGTGGGGCAAGGGAGAGCAACGGGGGAAAATTGGGACAACTGTAATTGAACAACAAGAAAAATAAATAAAAGGGAAAAAAGAATTGAACCCAGACAATCTGTCTCTGGAGTCCAAGCTTTTTAACATTACAACACAGCTGCCAAAGGGCCCCCGCCTACCAATAGTGGGTTGGAGGCAGGGTTTTCGTCCCACTTCTGCTGTTAATAGAGTGGAGGGTCCCTTTGGACAGTTACCAGACTTCCCAACGGTGCTTTTGCCCTTCTGATAATATAATTAATGGCAGAGCACATATTGGATTTAAGGGATACTTCTAGTGCTGCTTCATTTTTATGAAGACCACTTCTGTGGTTCATTTGCTTCTTTGTGTGAGTCAGGGAAAGGCTATTTAGCATGGGTTGTTTCAGCTACATTCACTCAACAGTCACCCTCAGGGATTAGCCTCAATTCCATTTGAATTAATTTGTTTCTTCCTAGTTTTCATTTTACCCTTGATTTTAAATGTTCAACTTCAATACAGTAAATGCTTTTCTTGTGAAATAATAACATTCCCAATTTTTCTTTATAGGTCACAGACTTTGGGTTTGCCAAAAGAGTTAAAGGCAGGACTTGGACATTATGCGGTACTCCAGAATATTTGGCTCCGGAAATAATCCTCAGCAAGGTATGTTCACGCTGTCGTTATGTAAGAAGTAGAAATATAAGGCATGTGTCAGTGTGGACTCAACACGTTACATGGTGACAGAATAAATGCCAAGACTTACGAAATGTATATATTTTGTAAAAGTAATAGATGTTCACTGCACAGAATTTGGAAAATACATGAAATATAAGGAAACAATGAAAACCCTATAATCTCACAGTCTTTTTAAAAAAACACTAATATCTTTTATATGTATGTTATCATAGTTGAGATATAGTGAATGTACAATTTTTTATTCCACTTTTTTCATTGAAATGATATGAAGCATGCAAACATCATTTAACAGCTTATTCGCAAATATAACTATTCACCATTCTTCTATTGTTGAATATTCTAGTTGTTTCCTTTTTTGACTTTTTTCTCTTATAAATAGCTGTGATAAATAGCTTATGCATCTTTGTGCATAAGCTTTTTCTTCATTTCAAGTTTTCTTTTTTTAGGACAAATTCTTAGAAGTGAAATTATTCAAAGAATATGGACATTCTTAAGGGTTTCCATATATGTTGCCAAAGTGCTTTCCAAAAAGACAGTAACATTTTGTACTCCTACCAGCAATACACAAGAGTGCCTATTCTACCCTACTCTCTCCAGCACTGGGTATTCTTGTTTTTTAAATCATTACAAATTTAATAGGCAATAAATGATATTATGTCTAATACCTTCATTAGATTTTTTAAATATTTATAGCCATGTAGTATTTCTTTGTATGTGTATGAATTGTTATGTCATGTCCTTTACCCATTTATTTATTGTAAGTTAGGTTTTCTTATTGATTTGTTTTCATTCTGTATACTTAGTGTATCAAAAGAATCTGGCACACTTGTTGTGAACATTAGCATACAATCTAAAACATAGAAACCAAAGTTGAGTAAAAGGATCTGGTTCAACATTACATGCTTTCATTATAATAAAAATGTTGTATAATGAATGACAGCATTAGTGAGTTAAATTAAAAGAGCTGAGCAAAATCGATGCCCATTTCCATTAGCAAAACAAAGTGCTATTGCTATTATACTAGCCTTTCCCTTTAAAAAAATGCAGGAGCAGGACAAAAAGGAAAAGAAAATCTCTATATTGTAGTGTCATATTTTAGCTAATAATTTAAAAGCGAAATAATTTGTAAAGCTAAAACTTTAAGAAAAGATTGAAATGTGGGGAGTGGCAAAGGTAGGACACCTTTGACCAAAGATCTGGCAGGAACTCAGCTCATTCCTCTCCGTGATGGAGTTATTTTTTATTGTTTTTTAATAATCACTTGTGCCAAATGACACTGATCATAGTTGATAACAAACTTCATGTAAACATATTAATATTTTTCTACATCTGAATTTGAATAAACTACCCAATTAGAAAGAACCTTAGATCATCCTTCTGGGTCCCAGGCCCTTTTAGTGAGTGTGCTGCTCCGGCGAGCTCTCTTACTCACTTTCCACACACGGCACTTCCTTTCATGTGATTCCGCCCTCCCCAAACCCCGTGAATTATCTTTTCTGTATACCTTCTAGAAATGAGAAGCAGAGCAGTAGATAGCTACAGTAGAATACACTTAAATATTTACATTTTTAAAGTTCCAAATTAAGCATTTAGCTTTCATAAGATCCTGTGAAGTACACGGGATTATCTTTAGTGTATTCATCATAGTATAATCCAACAGTAAGGCATATTTTGAAGTCAGCTGCACTATTTATTGTGAAGTTCAGTGTCTACTATTTTATTTTAAAAGTTTTGACATTCCTAAGCATTCTCCAGAAAACCTGGTTCATAACAACATAAACCTAAGATGGGCTGGCTTTAAGAGGTAATTTGGTCCATCCCACTATTGTTGAGCAACAACTAAATTATCCCAATTTAAGGGTCAAGTCAAAGAACATGTATAAAGGACCCATGGACAAAGACAATAGGGGTGGAGGGAGATTGAATGTGGATTGTGGGGGATGGATAGAGCAGGGGATAGTAATGAGGGGGATAAGGACAACTATAAATGAACAACAAAAATAAAGTAAATAAAATAAATAAGGAATATTTTATTGTTCATAATATTCTTAATGACTTTCTGAAGGAGATTTAATAATATTTTCTAATATTCAATTTCAATATTGGGAAAGTCTCCCCTTATTTAATTTAAACCTAACCCGGTACATTTCGTATCAGGTCATTGTTTCATTCTGTCCTGAATGGCTCTAACTGCTTTTTAAAAAGATTGCTATGCTTGCCCTAACTGGTATGGTTCGATTGGTCGGCTGTAGTCCTTAAAGCAAAACATCACTAGTTCAATTCCCAGTCAGGGCACATGCCTGGATTGTGGGTTTGATCCCTAGTCAGAGCGCATGCAAGAGATGATCAATATTTCTCTTTCACATCAGTGTTTCTCACCACCTCTTTCTCCCTTCCTTCTCTTCTCTCTAAAAATGAATAAATAAAATATTTTTTAATAAAGAAGCATTTAAAAATAAAATTTAAAAAAATCCCTAGGCTTGAAGGTCCTTTTGAAGTCATTCGTGACTTCACTCTCTGCTGAGGGAATTACTAATTGATGTTGGGTGTGGTTTCTCGTAGGGCTACAATAAGGCAGTGGATTGGTGGGCGTTGGGAGTGTTAATCTATGAAATGGCAGCTGGCTACCCCCCATTCTTTGCAGACCAGCCAATTCAGATTTATGAAAAGATTGTTTCAGGAAAGGTAAGTAATACGTTTTATTATTCCTCTATTATTCATTATTTCTATAAAGGAATTTTAAGCTTTGTGTATTGAAGCCATTTGATATTATATTATCCTAAATTCGGAAACATATGGAAATATCCAGAGTTGCTGCCCTTGTAACTGACAATCACTAAAGAGAACAGCATAAATGTTAAATTATCAAAGTTTCTTTAGAAAAAAAAGTTTTATAAACAAATTAGCAAAATAATAAAATAAAACATTTTCCATTTTTAGTATTTTTATTACTTGTAAAAGACAGCATTATAACCCATAGTATTGCTTCAAATAAATAAAAATTGTTAGTCATTTCATGTAGATGTCTCATTGGAGAGATGTTTTAGGGGCTTTTTTTTTTAATGTGCTCTTGCTTTTTTCAGGAGAGACTTACTGTTTGAAATATGCCAGACACCACAAAGTTGAAAGTAAATATAAAATATTTTTAAGACAGAAATTCATAGAAATTATGTAAATAATTATTCCTGTTTATTGTAATAATTGCCATTGACCTTTAGCAAATAGGGAAATAACATTAGTTTTTCTTGACCATGTGTCAAGTAAATACTGTGCCACAGTATTGTACATTTTGTAATTACTCCATAAACCTTCTTTCTTTTACATTTATAATCCCTAGTTTTGTTTCCAAAAGTATTTGTTTAGAGTTAATCATTCGCTCTTCGCCTTGGCTCAGACCTCAGGTCTTTTAAAAAAACACCACAGTCACTTTTAATAGAGATGGACTGTTTCTTCCTGCCACATGGCAAGGGAAGAGGAGGCTTTGTAGAAATCCCAGGAGGGTGCCTTCTATATTTAAGGTAAAGTTTATGGAAAAGTTTTCTTTTTGTTTCCCTTTTTGCTGTTCTTACATGCAGTATATTCTGTTTCTTTGCGGGTTTCTCTTTTGTTTTGTTTTGTTTTGTTCGGCTTTGTTTACATTATATAGCCCCATTTAGAATATGATGAGGAAACAGAGCGATAATTTTGACATGGCATTACCTTGAGATGTTATGAATTTGACTTTTTTGCATTTTGTGACCTTGGAAGGCAGAAATTAGCCTAATAAACATAAAGAACTTGGAGGAGATGGAAAAAGTCTCTATTTCTTGGTATCGCAGCCAGGTTTACACACTATGTTTAGCATGAAAGCAGATCATCAGGACCAATGAACTTAAAATTTACAGTTACAACGTTAAGAAGATAACCTAAAAGCCAATAATCTAGTAGTTTATCTTTTTTACCAGAACCCAAATTTAAATCGTTGATACTGCATAGCTTGGCTGTAAGAATAAGACTGCAATGAGTCTGTCCGCAGACCCCAGGTCTTCACGCTGCAGGCCCTGTGACTCACAGAGCACGCACAGTCTGCTGGGGTCAGAGGGTTCCCATTACCTTTCAGTGTATTTTATGAGAAAAGTTTTATAAAAAATAAACCTATTACAGATTAGTAAACTAAAGCTAGCCATTGAAAAATTTACAGAAAGGCAGAATGACGTACTTTAAAGTATCAGCGCTATCCTTGTTACTTTTGTAGCCCTCTAGGCCTCAGGTTTCTTATGTTTGAAATTATTTTCACTAAGCAGAATATTGAAGTAACAGTAAAAGAACCTTTGAGAGGAACAAAAGAAAACACCAAAAAATATTAGACAAGGAAGTGATTTATTTTTTAAGAATTTGAGAAGTGACTGTAAATTCTCAAGAGAGAATAATGAGAGAACTAAAATATACTTAAAATCACTGATTGGAAGAAGTATATTTTACCAATACAAAGACTAAGAATGCAGGAATAGTAATAATTTTAAATAATTTAATCTTGGTAGTTACAAAGTTTCTGAATTTTTATTTTATTTATGCTTAAATTCATAAAAGGAATCAAATTATCTGACAAGGATGATGTCACAAATAAATTTCATTACTTTGAAAAATTACTTTAGTGAAAATGAATATATATTCATCTATGGATTGGCCTCAGTTTGCCAATCATTCTTTATTGCATAAAATTTTTCAGCTGTTCATGAATATGTTTTAATTTCATATCAGACGTTAACATTTAAGATCCTATATTATCTTAAAATTTAAATCAGCATATATTCTAAAATCTTAACAGGTTAAAATTGGTCACCTTATAAGAGTAGCAATATATCATCACAGTATTTTATTTTTTAATTTATTTTGAAATATTATAGGGTGTTTTGCTTTTAATTAAAGGTGCCAGATGCCTTTCCTCATATTACGTATACAGTTATATCTGTAGAAGTGCGTACATTCCTTGTTCCTTTCCTCAGTTAAAGTAGAACTCATGAAGTCAGAATATCGCCATTACATGAGCTCTAGGTTCTATATTATATAAATGTAAAATCATATTCACCATTTCCCAATAAAACCAATTGTTTCAGCACTCAAATCCATACTTGAACATCTCTCTCTCCACATTACAAAAATGTTTTCCCTCTGCTTAGTAGCTAAAATCCAAATTGGAGACTAACTACTTTTTAATATTTTTAAATTGAGTTATTAAAAATTCCATTATGGCTTTTTATTTATGAATCCTATTTGCATTTAAATTTTTAAATGATCTTAGTGATGTAATATATCATGTAAAATATTCTTTTCATTTAGAATATTTTCTAATTTTTAAAGCATATATATTTTATGCAGCAACATTTTATGTTGATTATATCTTCTATTCTGAAACCATGTTGTTAAAGATTATAGGTATCAGTGACTTATCCAAGTTCAAATAAAATGTATTTAATGAAGTGATTAATTCACTAAAATACATATATTTGAACATTAGATTGTTAATTACTTTCTCTATTACAATATTATAGCTCAAAATGGTATTTTTAAATACACAGAAAAATGATCAATCAGCTTGTTAGATTCTCTCCTCCACATATTTTGCCTTTAAAAAACAAAGGAGGAGGTATTTAAATGTCAAATTATTCATGCAATATTAAGGTTCAGGTTTAAAAATGCAGTTAATAGAAAAGTTTTATAATTCCCAAATTAACCATGCCTCATCTTGACAATGACTGTGCTGAGTTTCTGCAGTCTTTAAATTTCATGCCTCAGTGCCATGTGCTTTGTGACAAGAATCAGTTTGCTTTCCACAGCAATTCTATCTGGCTGAATTGCTCTTGGAAATATGAAAGTCGATATTGTGCTCAAAAATGATACTTACGAATAAGGCAGTCAAGTAACAGCTGTTGTGGAAGTCACAACTTTAGAGCCCTTGACTTATGTAATTTATAAAAATTGTTAGCTTCCTTGTATATAAAGTAAATATTACTCCACTTTTAATGAGCATCAGAAATATACAAGGAAACAGTACACAAAATACAAAGTTTTAAACATATGAGTATACAGGATGATCAAAAAGTTTTGGTTAATTTTTTCTTGAAAGGAAATTCACATTCACATGGAAGGTAACTGATTAGCAGCCACGTGGCTATTCCTTGGGCGCACAGGGTCTCTGACACCACTCCCAGGCCAGGAGATACACTAAGTGCACTGGGGGAATTCAACATACAGTGATAACCAAGGAATGGATAGCTTACATTGTAATGAACAATGTAAGCCTGTTCAATACATTGTAATAAGCCTGTATTGTAAGGTTCCTTACAAGGAAAGGTACCAAGCAAAGTCAGCAAAGGGAAAAGGCACAGGGGGCTGAGTTCACATGAAACCTGGCACAGGCTTTCAAGAGTCCTCTCCCAATGTTAAAGGTCTTCTTTAAGAAGAAGAAAAAAATGATGAATAACATGAATAATAAAATGGCAATATATATACATATCTGTCAGTAATTACCTTAAATGCAAATAGATTAACAGCTCCAATCAAAAGGCACATAGAGGCTTAACGGATAACAAAACAAGACCCTTAGATATGCTGTCAGCAAGAGATTCCCTTCAGATGGAAGGACACATGCCAACTGAAAAATAAAGAGATGGAAAAAGACATTTTATGAAAACTGAAATGAACAAACTAACAAAAAGCTGGGGCAGCAATACTCATACAAAATAGACTTTAAAACAAAGGCTATAACAAGAGACAAAATACCCAGCAAATCCACTTCTGGGTATTTATCCAAAGAAACCCAAAACACCAAACCAAAAAAGGCTTATACATCTATTAATATAGGTGCATTGCACATTATTTACAATAGCTGAGATGTGGAAGCTCCCTAAGTGACCATCAGTAGATGAGTGGACAAAGAAATGGGGCGTATATACAGGGGAATATGACTCAGCATTAAAAAGAATGAAATCTGGCCATCTGCGACAACATGAATGGACCCAGAGGGTATTGTGCTGAATAAAATAAGTCAGACAGAGAAAGACATATGCCACATGATTTCACATGCATGTGGGATCTAAAAAAGAAGATAAATGAATAAGCAGAACAGAAACAGACTCATAGATACAAAGAACATTTTGAAGGTTGCCAGAAGGGAGAGGGGTTGGGCAGTGGGTGAAATGGCAAAGGGGTGAAGACTTGGAAGTTGGGCCCTGGCTGGTGTGGCTCCGTGGGTGGAGTCCCGGTCTGTGAACCGAAGGGTCAGGTCTCCCGTTGGGGCTTGTGGGAGGCAACCGGCTGATGTTTCTCTTCCTCTCTTTTTTTCTCCCTTCCTCTCTCTCTAAAAATAAGGAAAATCTTTTTTAAAAAATACACAGTGGTTGTGACAGAATGGTCATGGGGATGTAAAGTACAGCATAGGGAAGGCAGTCAGTAACATTGTCATAACTTGTGTGTGGTATCAGACGGGTACTAGGTTTCTCGAGGTGATGGCTTTGTAAGTCCTGTAAACGTCTAATCAGCTTGAACATCTGAAACTAATATATTGTACATGACCTATAATTGAAAATTAAAAAATTATTTAAAAAAAACTCTGAAGTAAAAAGAGAAATGAGTTCTCTTCCAGCGGAGTCACGAGGGATACGTTTAATGTCCCCAGGAACAGACTGTGACAACACTGGTGAAGT